TAGCTATACAGATTTATAAAATTAATGAAATAAAATTAATTCTAAAAAAGTTCAGACTAGCTAATTAGGCTAATTTTTTTGTTAATATGTATAATTTTTTTAATCAAAATTAGTTAATATATTTATTATAAATTATAAAGATATGATTTTAAAAGTATATAACAGAGAATAATTAATATAACAAAATAATATAATTTATAACTAAAGGCTTATAAGTTAATAACATAGTAGTTAGTACTTTTGAGTTATAAACAACTCTGCAAGGACCATGATTAGGAATATTTTTAAGAGTATTTTTATATATATTAAGAACAAAATTTATACAAAAGCACTTATTGGCATAACTATATAGTTGTTAATAATCAGATAAGATGCAATATATTAACAAATAATATAAAAATTAAGAATACTCTAAAAATAGAACAAGTAAAATAAAATAAATAAAAAATATTAGATAACTTCAGTTAAGTAGATTATGTAAAAGTTAAGAAATTATAGATTGATAATGAATAGCTGGTTCTATATTGCAAGAGTATAGACCAAAAATGTTATATAACAAACTTAATAAAGCATAAGCTTTTATAAGACTAGTTAAAAATTTAAAGCCAATATGTCTTCAGTAACTTCTGAGATGTTTAGAAAATCTGGTTAAAGAGAGTTGTAGACTTTCATTTTAGAAGTATTTAACTGAGAGAGAAGAAAAAAAATTTCACAACTATATTGATTATTTATCTAAAATAAGTTTTTTGAGATTAAACAGTATAAAAGTTATTTAGAATTATTAGTAGTTAGTAGGATAATAAAGATAATAAAGATAATAAAGAAAATCTATAACTAAAAAAAACATATAATTATTAAATACTTTAAATAATATAAAATATTAAATAAATATATTACAAATATAGTACTAGAAGCCTATACTTAACAGTTACATAAAGTGTTTCAAATTTTTAAATGATTATAATTTTTTATCTAAGCTGTTTTAAAAAAATCTATCTAGTAACTTTATAGAGCTGCTATAGCTTTATAAAGTACCAAATAAATTTTTTTAAAACATCTTAGATAAAAAGTTATAGTCATTTAAAAATTTGAAACATTTTATGTAACTGTTAAGTATAGGCTTCTAGCATTATAGTATATTTAATATTTTTAAAAGAGCATATATATGAAACTTTATACATAATAAAGATTTTATAATAAAGATTTCAAGTATAATAAAATTTGTTTTTTAATAATTTTTGCTTTTAGTATATTATAATATCTATAATTATAAATAACTAACTCATCAGATCTAATACATCTCTTATCAATTTTAACTTATTTGTAAATTATATAACATATTCTATTATAAAGTAACTAATTTATTATTTTATCTATATTATTATATTAAATATGCAAAATATTATTAAGTAGTTTTTTTCAAATTTGACAAAATAAATATTTTTTTTTGTGTTTTTTTTTTATTTTTATATTTGTCTAATTTATTAAGTTGTTACATACTTTTTATAAATGTATCAGCATAGTTATATTAATTTATCTTTATAATATTAGGCATTCTTATATTTTTTTAGTAACTTAACTTATATAAATTTTTTTAGTTATATATATACTTTTGTATAAAGCTAATAAAATAAGTTGTTTATAGAAAAGCATATAAAATTTAGAGTTAAATATAAATGTTATATTTTTAGCATAGACCTTATAAAAATAAAAATGTATTTAAAAAGTTACTTTTATTCTTAGTTTAAAAAAAGAATACTTATTTATATTGTCTTTAAATAAAAATATTTATATTCTTTTATATAATAAATACCTACTAATTATATAAAATTAAAATTATTTAATTTTCTTTTATATATTGCATCTCTAGTATTTTAACTATCAAAATTAAACTAAGCATATTGTTAGAAGCTCTTTTATTTAATAATAATACTAGTAATACTAAATTATTTAATTTTTATTCAGATTATTTTTAAAAAATTTCAATATATTAGTATTTAATATTGATCAATTAATTATGCTTAATTTTTTTTTTAAAAAAAATAGTAATAAATAAATTTGCACAACTACTGCTATATTAAAAAACCTAAAACTATCTTATAATTTTTCTTTGTAAAATTTTTATAACTTAGAATATCTTTAAAGTAAGCAATAATTTTTAATAAAAATAATTTGAAAAAAATTCAAGCATTAATAAATAACTTAATAATATCTTTCATTAAATAAAAAAATACCTTTAATAGAGTAGATTATTAAGTTAAACACATTAATATTATAATAAATTTTGATTCAATTCAATAACTAATATTTAAATTAAAAGCTAATTATGTAATTAAATCTGGTAACTGCAATATTTTAAACTAGTTTTATTTATATTAATATAAAAAAATAAATCCAAATCAATTATCAAAATAACCAAATTTAACTAATAAATTATATGTAATTTAATAGATTATTTTAAACTTACTAACTAAATCTACTTGAGTAAAAGATATAATTAATAACTATAATAAATTACATATTATTGAAGTAAATATATATAATTTAATCAATAAATTACAAACATTTATATTAACAATATTAAATATATTTAATAATATATTTATTAAATTGTGTATTATAATTAGAATTTCTCAAAACCAAATTAAATATACCCTTGATTAGATTTGATTTGATTAAATATTTGAATTAAATATTTGAATTTGATTTGATTTTTAAAAAAATTTAAAATTTTGATCAATAAAAATAAAATTTGATTTATAAAAATTTTACTATGTTAATTGATTTTGAGCTTTTAAATAAAAGTATTCATTTAAACAAAATACTTTTAGTTTTATAAAACAACAAAGTCAATTATTTTAATAAAGTTTTGAGTAAATGGCTTATAATTTTAAATATTTAATTATAAATATTTAAATCAAATTAAATATTTGTTAAATCAAATCAAATTTGACCATATTCAAATTTGATTTGATTTGAAAATTTCAGATTTGAATTTGATTTGAACTCAAATATTTGATTAAATCAAATTAAATCAAATTGCAAAACCCTAATTGAAATTACAATAATAATAATCAATAGGTTTCAATTTAGTACAACTTTTTTAAAACTTATTAATATAAATATAAATGCATAAATGTTTATTTAGAAGTATACAGAAAAACTATATAAAACTAAATTAAATCTGATCATTATAGTGCATTTGTAATTTATCACAAAATTTAAAAAATTTTAAATTCTGATAGTGAGTTAATTGAATTAACATTATATATACATACTGTATAAGTTATAAATTAAGTTATAAATCAAATTTATATATTCAGATTTGAATTACATATTTTATATAATAAAATAAATAGGTATAAAAATAGTAACAAATAACTTTAAATTATTGTTATATAAAAAAATAATAATAAAAGAAATTGGTAAAGAAAATTCAAATTATCTAATAGATCATATTATTAAATAAAAGTTAATATGAAGAAGTTTTCAATACTATATTATCAAAAAAGATGTTTATTCATCTAAATTTTATCTTATTTATATCAGAACACCAAATCAATATCTGGTTTCTGATAATTATATAGTAAAAACAACCTATAAAAAAGATAATTATCTGTTTTATTAATTATTTTAATAAGAAATCTCAATATAAAATACAATTTTAATTAAATAAAAATAAACATATATATTTAAATTGTTCATTAACAGATACAGTAAATGCATATCTAAAAGCTTATTATGAAAAAATCACAAGTGTAGAAAGGGCCAAGAATCTAAATATAATAAAAATAATACTGTTTATATATATTTAATATATAATTTACTAAAATATATTTTTATTAAAATTAATTTAACTAGTTGTAACAAATGAAAACTAAAATAAATAATGTCTACTTATTTGGTTTACAGTTAACACAAATCATATTAGTATAAAAAAATCAAAAAAAATCAAAAACTATTAAACTGTTATCTGAAATTATAAATCAATTGCAATTCAGATAAGGTAGAAACTTTGATACAAATATTTTAACAAGTCTTGAAGATCCAATAAAACAATTTTTTTTGTAGAAGATAATATTATAATTAATTAATTAGTTTTTATATTAAATAATTTAAAATTTCAGATTATATATTATTCTAAAGATAATGATAAGATAAAGTGTTATCTAGCTATAATATGAGATTTAGATAATAATAGAATTTCAAAATCTTTATATTAGAATTTAGTAGCAATATGTTATAAATTACCATATAATAGAGTTATATTTAAAAAATTAAGTTAAATAAATGTAATTATGGATAAAAATATTCTAATCTATTTAATTAAGTTATAACAATTTAAAGATAAATTAAATTTTGATTATAAAATCTATATCACAGATTCTGAAATTATTAATAAAGTCAAATATTTATTAGAAAATAGTATAAGATATTCAATTAAGAATATTTTAAGATTTCTTATATTATCTATAATTAGCAAAAAAATATTTAATTATTCTTAACTTATATTACATATTCATATTTCTAGTAATAAAAGGAATATTAATTACAAAATCAAATATATAATAGTAATATTTACAATTCTAAATACAATAAATATTTTTAAACTTAATTTATATTTTGCATTACTTATTTATCTGAATATAGAAAGTTATGATAAATTATATATTATATTAGTACTATTAATAAAAAAATTACATAATATTAAGATTAAATTTATAGATAATAATGAATATAAGTAAAATATTAAATTATATATTTCTGCTAATTAGAAATTTCTTAGTATTTGTTTAAGATATAAATTAGTTAACAGTGCAAACTTCTATCTTTGTATTCAATAAATGAGCTTCAAAATAAAGTTTTAGAATTGAATAATAAATGACAAGATAATTAGATTATTAACAAAAATATTAATAATATTAATTAAAACTATTAAAATATCTTTAGCTATAAGAATTCTTTATTATTTTTAATAATTCCAGTTTGTAACTAGGTTGTCAATAAATTCCACTTGTTGTTACACATATTTGATCAACTATAGTCACTTGTTTTAAGTGAACTTTGTAATATATATTAATTTATTTATTATATATATTAATTAATTGTTACTGAAATGGATTGTATTTAAGTTTATTTTCAGTTCTGAGATCAAAAATACTAAAACATGGTTATTTATAATTTTAAATAGAAATAATAAACTTAAAGTCTTAAAAAGCTTTAATTTGAATATTATATTTATATTTCAAAGAGCCACTATTTTTAGAAAGCTATAGAATAGTTTTATTAATTTGAATAATAATATGTATACTTTAAATATTTTTGGTAATCAATTCTATTAAAAGCATATTAATACTTAAACCTCTTTTTAACAAAGTCTCAATTAGGTATTTGCTAATTATTGTATATATATTATCTTAATCAATTTTTTTTTATATATAATTTATATTATTAATATATAATACCAATGAAACTGTTCTACAAGAAATTTAAAGTAACCTAACTTTTCTTAGTCTTATTTCATTTTTATCATTAATTTTATACTTTTTTCAAATTATAATCATTTCAGGTTGTTTTAAATTCAATTGTAAATCATTTGATGTTTCAGATACTGCATTGTTTCAGATCTTTATCTATGTTCATAAATTTTACATCTTCAATTTTTTTAGTTAAAAATATTTGTAAGAGTATTATATACATTATAACTACTAAATCTACAAGTATATTTTTGATAATATACTGAATATTGCTTAATATAATTTTGAAAGATTAAAACAAATTCTAGTTCATTAAATAGTATTGAAACTGTTTGTAATTCAGTATGTTTTATATGAAGCTTAAGATGTGATTATATAAGATAAACTAATATATTCTTGATTTTAGCAATATTAGTACTAGAAGGAATAGAAAGATTTTTAGGAGGTATATTATAAGGACATTGATAAATCATACCACTGATGTTTAATATCATATTTTGATTTAGCTAATTAAATTATTGATCATCCAATTTGTGTAATGATCGATTGTAAACAAAGAGTATAAATAAAAATAGTAAACAAAAAATAATATATTGAGATATCTAAAGAAAAATTAAAATATTTTAAAAATTTTTTTTGCAAGTATATGTAAAATTTTATGCTAAACAAATTTACTTAGAAGCCAAAAGATTTATAGTTTTGTTTATTATCAATCTGCATGTTTTCTTTTGTTGTGATATTTTGTTTGATTACTTAACTATAGGTTTAGGGTTTAAACTTTGTTAGTAACTAGCTATTGTATCAACTAATTCAGTTTTTATTCTAATAGTTTATTTAATAAAATCTTGAGATATAATCAAAAAACTAAAAATAATAGAAAATTATAAATATCATAAAAATTTACTAAAATAATTATATTTTAACTTCTAACAAAAAATGTTTAACATAAACTTTTACTTATAATTATAGTATTTTTTTAAAAAATTTTATTAATATTATGAGTTATTATTAAAATAAAAAACCCGCTAACTTGCTAACCCAAAAATGATTTACAAACTAACCAATCATGATCAAGTAATCTTTGTACTGGTGTTAAACACCATAGGTGTAATATATACTTGTTGTATTATAATTAGAGTGTTTAAAAGTTTCATTACGGCTCAATCCACTTTTTTGGAATATTGTATTTGGACAAAGTAAGCATGAAAAAGATTTGTCTAAAGAGACACTTTCAGCATTTCTTGCTGCAATGTACTCTTTGGTTGTGTATTTTGAGGCCACGATTACTTTTAAATTTCTTATCGTCACAGAAAGAACATAAAAAAAAATTAGTGTTATTGGTGTTCATGTTTTTTTGTAGATCTATCTAATGAGGTGAGTCACTATGAAGAATAGATAATTTAAGATGGGTTGTATAGTGGGAAGATGGGTTGGACATAAGGCTGCCATAAATCTAAGGTGCAAAAAAATTTTTTCGGGGTTTATTTTGGATCGATTAATAATAAATTTGACCATTATTTTAAATTTGGTAACCAAATATCTACTTAATTCTGCCAGTATGCCGTAATGTACTTAATGCACTAATGCAATAAATACATTGCAATCATTTCTAACTCTCTTTAAGCAACTCAAGCGTCTAGTTTTAATAGTAAAGTTGTTAACGAAAACTTTTTGTTCGAGCACAAAGTTAGTTTCTTATGCTAATTTGGAGTTATGAGAAGAACGAACGTTTGTTTTGAATCTTCTTGATCATGTTACATTCCGACAATATAACTTTAACCATTATTAATTTTATGATATCAGTATGAAAATTTTTATTTCATGCTATTTTTTTTTATCCACTTTAGTTCTATTAGCCAATCAAATTTTACAAAATCACACGCAATTAATTGTGTAATTGTGTTATATATTATGTTGTTGAAAAATAATTTCGTTTACTACAATAGTTTAGTTTTTCTCATTTTTAATGATTTATCAAATCATAAAAGGCTTCATTTCAAGAATTTTTAAAATTGCTAAGGGCTTTGCCTTCTACTGATGAGATTTTTTTCCGACGTTCGGCATTTGGGGCTTAGGAATCGTTTGTAGCAATGAGGCTGGCAATAATAATACTATTTATTCTTTTTACATAATGATTATATGATTAGACATGATTAGATAACTGCGTATGTATTCATCAATGTTGTTATTTTAGCGTTAGTAATTATGCCTAATATCCGTAATATCCGTAATATCCGTAATATCCGTAATATCCGTAATATCCGTAATATGTGGGATAATAAATAAATTTTGACTTTTGAAATAAAATGATAAATAATACAAACGGTTAATTTTATATTCGTTTATTGAATACATTTTTAAAACTTAAGTCAGGATTTATTATTATCGTGATGTGAAAGATATCAAATGTCTAACAATATAAGAACTAGCACAACTGTGATTCCTGTTATACGTAAATTTTTGGGTTTGTAATAAATATTATAATTATCATTGTAAAGATAGAATCAATAATTCCAGCCAAATTCTATAGGTTTCAATTACGTGTCTTAGACGTGTCATGGCAGCTAATTATTCACAATGGGGTTTTAGAATTACCTTTTTGAAAATAGTTTAAAAGATCCTGCTTCTATTTTTAAAATTCCGACTCAGGTATTAAATATGCGCACACATTAATAAAATTGGTGTATGCTTATACGTTAAATAGGATTTATGGATCACATTAACTCAGAAAAACTCAATGTACTAATTATAATATTACATATGATCGTCTGTTAAAACAGTGAATAATAATTACAATCAAGGCTCAATTATACAGTTTTTAGGTTTTTTAAGCCAAGAGGCTGCATAAATATATTTACTGTTATTGAATAAACATTGAATAAGCATTGAATAAGCATTGAATAAGCATTGAATAAGCATTGAATAAGCATTTAATAAGCATTTAATAAGCATTTAATAAGCATTGAATAAGCATTGAATAAGCATTGAATATACATACTTAATAACATGCTTAATTGTTTTCATGATTGTTTTGTAAACTGTAAAGATTTTTTCAATACAAATATAAAATTAGATCAAATTTTATCTTGACTTTATATCTTTTAAAAAAAAAAGAATTATCATTTGTAAAATGAGTTCATCAAAATCTGAAGGCCAAACTGAGATTTTGATAGATGATGTTCCGCACGGAGGAAAAAAAATAGATTATTATGTAGTATCACCAAACATGGAATGTATAGCGACTTTAAGTTTCGAAGATAAATCAATTGTTGTATGGATCGTTACAAAGACCTTTACGAAAGATCTTATTGTCAAATACGAAAGTTCATTAAACCTTAATGATCTTGAACGTGCTCTAATCTCTGATAATTTTTGTAAAAACCCTGATTTTAAGTTCGAAAGTCTATTTTCATATGCGTTAGCAGGAATCTCAGATTGTAAACATGTCATATTAAATTTAAATAGTAATGATTTTGAAAATAATTTTGGTTAGTTAAAATTAAGTTATCTATAAAGTTTAATTAGATTTCATATTAATAAAGTTTATTTTAACAGCAATTATTGATATCACAACTAAATTAAGACAAATATTGAGTGCGCAAGGACTAGAAGAAAGAACTGTAATAAATGATGATATTATTGCCTTTTTAGAAAATGGTGATCTAGCAATTTTCAAAGGCGAACCAGTTTATCGAATTTATATCTTTTCAAAATCAAATTCTAGTGGAAAACATAAATGGACTTGCGATAATAGTATTGAACTCGAAAAATTTATATATACAGAGACACGCAAAAAAGGTGATATTGACCTCGAAAAATTTTATTCATACTATATTTCCAAAAAAGGAAAATTGTTTATGAGCTTCAAAATGCCCTTTGTAGTTACGCAATGGGACTTGATAACTCGAAAGTTTGATATGCAATATATACTAAATTGGGATTTAACTCCTGATTACTCCTTCAATTTAAAAATTGAATTGAATGGTGATAATACATTGTTAGCAATGGCCTGCAATAGTATACACAAAAGCAACACTGTAGTCTATATTTATTTAACAAAATCCGGTATGATGGTTGCAAATAGTAGGTATTTTTATTTTTATGTAAAATTATATAAATATTAATACCTACAAAATTTATTAATTTATTTATCAAATTTAGAAAATTTTGATGTGTCCGACTTACTTGATTTCTGTTTTATTGGATCGGGAGAAGATGAACGTTTGTTTTTTTCTGGCTCATGTGGATCTAGTTATAATAGAGATCTAAGTTATAATTATTATATACTAAATCCACGCACACACTTTCTCGATAAATCTCCTGACACTCATGGCTTATATGATATTTATCATGCTGCCTTTAACGATGAATTAACTGGCACTATTGATATTACCCATGATTATAATATTATAGGTGATTATATAATAAAAAAAGATAATTATTTGTCGATTCAAAGATTATCTCAAAATGACATTTGGTTAGAATATTTAAAACATAAAGATAAATGTTACGGCAACACATATATATATTTAAATGTAAAAGAAATTAAGGAATTTGTACAAAAGATTTTGGTTAAGTATAATGGTAAAGAGTACGAATCAGATCAAATTTTATCTCAAAATTACTCAAATGAACCAAAAGTATACAGTGGCGAGCTATGCACTTGGATTATTGAACATGAAAAAGATAATGACATATGGGCAATACTGTTAAAAACCAATATTAAGTCTGATAAAGGCGATAATATTAAACTTATACATTATTCATTTCATAGAATTTATGAAGGAACAGTGCTCGAAAATGGTGACATATTGTTGGTTTTTCCTACTAGCATACAAATATATACAATAAACTTAGTATACAATTCTAATGAAAGTTTTAATGGGGAATTAATTTATTGCTGGAGCGATAGAATTGAGTATGATTTTGTGCCTATTGATGAGTCTATTTATGAAATGTCAACAACACAAAATGCACCAAAAGATTTCATTATTAGACTGAAGAAACTTCTTACTTCATTTAAAAATAATTTAAATTTGAATTTTTACAAATATGGCTTTGAAATCTTACCACCACCATTTCATCATGTGTTTGATGAAACTGGATCAAGTAATAAATTACAATATAAAGATTCAACATTAAAATTGTATGGAAAAGATATAATCCAATTTATGTTAAGGGATCCGGATACAGAATCAGATGAAATTGATAAATTTCTTAATCATTGCTATGATAATTATAGTTTGTCATCAATACTTAGCAGCCGTGATATTCATAGTTATATATTGATAACAAGTCAAATTGCTTTTGCATTAACAAAGTTAGAAAAATCTAATAAAAATAAAAGATATACAGAAGGATTTTTATCTAAGACCAATATGCTAATTGGTCATATTGACTCAGACTATTATCATGAAAAAGAAGATACTTTATCATTTAATCTTCAACATTGCGGAATCTATGTTAATTCACTTGATTTATTTAATACTTCAAC